GCATATCTTTAAGTTTTTATATACAAGAATCCAGTCTGCAGTTCGCCCTGCGTTTGCGAGAACTATAAACAAATCACAATGTCAAATGCTTCAAAAACTTGGAATTTGGCTACAGAAAGAAATATTTACGCATGGCCAGTTGTAGGTTGCATTCTCAAGAGTAAGAAATCTTCGCGGTTAAAAAGGAAAAAGAAAAGAAAATATATTTTCTTAAAACATTATCTTGAAGTCCTAACAAATTATATTAAATTAAAGAAATTATTTAATTGCGAAATAGGGTTTTCGTCAAAGTATTTTTCCAAACAAATCAGCTTATTCAAATTTCATTGATTGATTTTCGAAATTGAAACGTAGAGTTTGTAAATCTCGACAAAAATGTTAGCAATAACTTCAACAATGCTGAATACGGTGAGGATTTGAACATGCTTCAGCGTGTTGCCAAAAATTTAGTTAATTAAATCCAAAGGAGAATCTGCAATGTCATGACCTGGTATCTTGACCTATATCTTATAAATATAAATATATATATCTACCGATCATCCATGCTTTGAATATTGCTGCGACATCTGGTCTGGTGCTCCTGCTATATATTTAGAGATCCTTGATAACATCCAAAGAATAATCTGCAATGTTATTAATCCTAACCTGGCTTCAGTCACTTTCCTACTGCCGTAAACTAACTCCATTGTGCCCTTTTCTATAAATATTTTCATGGTGATTGTTCTGCTGAGCTTTCCTCTTTGATACCTCGACTTCATGAATTTAAGCGTAGTACTAGATTGCCAGTTAGGTCCCATAATTTTACAGTTGGAATAAATAACTTCTTCTTAAATAAAATAAATAGAAAATAAAATTTCAGTGTTTAGGCGGAGATGTTAGATGTTAAAGTAGACTTTAGATGGATCCGGAAATCCAATCCTAAACGGAAAGAATAGATAAACCTCTGCTCTTTTTCAAAAGACTGGAGCAGAAATTTTCAGACTGACAGAGGGACTAACAACATGTTTCTTTGACAAACTTGTAATGGCATTAGTCCAATTGAAAAATAAAGTTTGCTAGAACGTTTCTGTAAATTACAACGTGGCTGTAAAAGAGTTTTTCCTCTTTTGTAGATTCCCTCAAAGTTCCAGCAACATGACCTTGTAACGATGCAAAGACGTCGTCTTGTCACGTTTCTTTAACAGAAAATGAACAATAAATTCCAGTAAGATGTTATCGGCCCTGACCTGGCATCTCAGCTTCAATCACTTTCCCAACGTTGTAACATAGCTTCTTTCTGCCTTTTCTATAAATATTTTCATGGTAACTGTTCTGACGAACTTTCCCCTTTGGTACCTCTACTTCTTGAATTTAAGTACAGTACTAGATTGGAGGTTAGGTCTCATTCATTTTGTCGTTGCAGTGGCTAGATGTAACCGTAAGTTCTATTCTAATAGCTTTCTGCTTCTTCTCGCCCATGGAACTCTTTTCCGGCTTCTTGCTTTCCCGTCAACTACGATCTTCAAAAATTTAAAAAATAACGTCAATCGTCGTCTTTTCCCTCCTAAATACCCGTTCTTTTATTGTCCTTTCTTCCTATATCGAAATAGGAATTATTCAAGTTTCTTCATCTTTAGAAATGAGATAATATAGACATTCCCGATAGAATTAATTCTACAATGGAGGCTAATGGTAAAAGTAAAGGTGTTATAAACCTTTTTCATATCGGAAACGTTCGGCATTCTTTGTCGGTTGAAATTTATAAAAACTTTCTCCTAAAACAGTTTTCCAAGAAATGATACATTTAACTCCGCTGTTATCGCTCTTTCTAGTATTGAAGGGAGTTCTTTTCTAATTCTTTTACTTTTAGGCAGATAAAAAAGAAAAAACAAACAAAAAAAAAAAAAAAAAAAAAAAAAAAAAAAACTTAAGAATCAGCTAAAATCATCTATGTCCAATTTGACTTTGGGTGTGTTCGCCTCTTCTTCTTACTTCCGCCGAACAACTGCCACCAACTGGACAGTCGACTCTCCCTAAGCAAGTGGCACTTGCGAGTGGTATTTTCTAACTTCCGGACAAGTGGCACTTGTTCCCAAAAGTTTTCATTTATTTATTTATCGTCTTTATTTCCTTTTGGTCAAGTGGGGGGACACTTTGAAGAACTTACTTCGTAGACTTTAATGCTGGTCATAAGAACATCATACATTTGAGACTCAGATAAAAATCATTTATGATCCCCTTGACTTTGGGTGTGCCACACAATAATATACCACTCTTTCATGCTTTGTTATTAATATGTCATCGTTGACATGCTTGAGGAGCACATCGCCAAATAATGGATCGGTGTCAGAATTGGGAGAGAAATCCTTCCACAGCATTACATGAAAACAATTGAATTGTAAGGAAAATGGGCCACCATTTGTAAATGCATACGGTAATATATATTTATATGTATAAGATATATCATTTGTTCGTCGTATATAAACTGGCTCTATAAATACGTTTTTGACTCTGGGGTAAATCGGAACTATATCTACGTTTTTGACTCGAGGGTAAACTGGGCCTATATCTACGTTCTATCGTGGAAGTCGTATTGCACTGAAACACCTTTTACGGCCTCTTCAACGTCCAGGCGTTGTCTCGAAGATATCATTTGTTAGGGGATCCATACGAGATGAACTGATTGACGAGCTCTGTCTTACGAAGCAGGAGGCTCGTTCAGTATGGCCATGGGCGTTCCGGTTAAAATGCCTCAATAATGATGAGGCATCACTCACCTGGTTGGTGATTCGTAGGGATCTCTGGGTCGGCAAAAGGCTTTGTTCGGCGGGCTTGGAGAAATCTCCAAATTGCGTTCGCTGTGATGGGAAGGTGGAGACCTTAGGTCATGTTTTTTTTTCATTGCAGGCTCGTAGTCCAGTTGTGCAAGTTTACTGAAGGCATAATGATTCGCATGCTGCAAGGAAAGTTCTTTGTTCTTGAGGCCAGTTCTGTCTGTAGCAATGTGGTACCGCCGTTGAAGAGGACTGGACACTACGTGTTCTTTTGCTTACTAGGTGTTATCAGAGTCGTGATTTGGACGACGCGCCAGAAGGAATTCTGCTGAGGTGAGAAGTTCACCTCTTCCCAACTGATCTTGTTCTTTAAGTATCTGCTTAAAGTCAAGATTAGGACGGAAAAGCGACGGCTCCCTTTATCAGAATTTGGCAAAAGGTGGATGAATCTTGCGCGTTTGTGTCGAGTAAAAGGGTTTGATTTCGAATGGTACTTTGATGCCAGTTAGGCATTAAGATATTTGCGCTGTGTTGAACATTAGAAACTCAGCCCGAAATTTGATTAGTTTAGGGTTGTTTTTTACCATTTAGTTTCTTCCGTTAAGTTAACTAGTGGATGTCTGCCCATTACCCTCTTATTTATTTCTGACCCTATATTCTTTAGTTTAATTCCCCTTCCCCAACCCCCGTAGGTGAACAGAGACTTCAGTTTTCTCGGCGCCTTTCGTTTCGGGTGTGAATTTCGTATCTGTTGTTGTGAGTGAGTGTTTGAACGAAATAGTGTTGTATATTATTAGTCCTGCATTGAGTTGTTCCAGTTAACTGATGTTTCTGCCCCAATTAAGGAGTGTGTGTGTGTGTGGGGGGGCTATTACTAACACTATTTTATTTAGTTTCTTGTAAATAGTTTTTATTTATATTGTAAATACACATTGGGGTTCAGATTTTAAATTGTTATTATTTTCCCCTTTCCCCACAGACAAGAATTGTACATATGGGAACTAGTTAGGACTTCCTAGAGACCTTGAGGTATTACGGTGATGGTAGTAAGAATGTTAAGTAAGAATGTTTTGTTTTGATATAAGGATTATTGCGGTTCGTTTGGGTCAGTGATTGTGGCTAGCTAAGTTTAATGTTAAGACAGAAGAAGACCGTCCTTTTCCCCATCTCCTATTTTGGCCTTGTGCCACATTTTGTATATATTACACAAATAAATATTGCAGCCAGTTTGGGGTACTTGTCTTGGCAAAAAGGAGAAACGCTGCTGAAAGACACGAGGAATGGGAAGTTGTAGAGAGCTAAGGTCACATATTCTCGAAGAGACTCTAGAAGGAATTGTTTGATATTTGTAACTATTTCTTCGCTGAAATGTCAGTATTCATTTGGAGTAATGGATAGCGGCTCGGATTGATGAATCGGAGAGACGAGTTCGAATTCCATTCAAATCCATTACATTCACTTACGTATTAATACCCTTGGGAAAAGTATGAATCTTCTCCCACCCACCCAGCTATAGGTAAATATTAAGAAATACCGGGTTCTATAGACTTGGATGGAAACTGGTATACCGCGGATATATAGGGCAACCTACTGCGGGAAAAAAATCTGCCTCGTCAGTCATGTATAGAAAGATACATGATCGCCTAAGCGTGTATCATGCATGGCACATAACTGACGGATTTTTTTTTTATCTGATTTCTTGCTTTTTATCACAATTGCCAGATCGGCGTTTCTGTAATCGTTAGGTCAGAACAAATGGAGCCAATACGTATTTGATTGAATGAAAGGTTGATAGAAATATACCGAGATAGATAGATAGATAGATAGATAGATAATAACAGAAGAAACAAATAGGTAGCCTTAGAGGGAATGTAGGTGATAAATTTTTAATCTCAGTTGGTGAGAGCATATCAGTTGCTCCCCGTTTCATTAAAGCGACACCTACGAGTTCTATGGCCCGTATTGTTTATGCAACCACACCCTGCAGGCTACACATGAGATTAGGTCAAAAATAGAAAATACATTAACATACAAAAAAAAAAAAAAAAAAATGGAAGAGTGAATATGAAAAAGGCAAAAGTAAACACCAGTTAATGGATTGGAATAAATAAAAGAAGTGGCGAAACAAAAGCAGCCAGAATCAAAGGCTGAGAATTTGAAAAAGGACAAGATCAAATCGATAAGTTATCTATCTATCTATCTAGCTATTAGAGTTTGTTCATATCTATCTATCTGACACTATCTGAGATTGTTCATATCTATCTATCTATCTATCTATCTATCTATCTATCTATCTCAATCTGTTCATATCTATCTATCTGACACTATCTGAGATTGTTCATATCTATCTATCTATCTATCTATCTATCTATCTATCTATCTATCTCAATCTGTTCATATCTATCTATCTTCCTATATCTATCTCTCACTTTGTCTAAATCTATTCATCTCAGTCTGACCATCTCTCCATCTTTCTATCTGATGCTATTAATATCTATCTATCTATCTATCTATCTATCTTGACAATTCATCTAATTGGAAACAAACACATCTGATGCAGTAACATATTCCCTTTCATCATTCAAAAAGGACAAGAAAAGCTCAATAAGTTATCTATCTATCTATCTATCTATCTATCTATCTATCTATCTATCTATCTAACACTGTTCATATCTATCTACCTTGCTAGCTATCAAAGTATGTTCATATCTATCTATCTATCTATCTATCTATCTATCTATCTATCTATCTATCTGACACTGTTCATATCTATCTACCTAGCTAGCTATCAAAGTCTGTTCATATCTATCTATCTATCTATCTATCTATCTATCTATCTATCTATCTATCTATCTATCTGTCTAAATTTATCTATCCCAGTCTCTCCATCTCTCTATCTGTTTATCTGATGCTATTAATATCTATTTATCTATCTATATTGATGACAATTCATCTAATTTGAAACAAACACTTCTGATGCATAAATATATTCCCTTTCATCATTCATGAATGTAATAAATCTATGACATTATTTATTTAGGAAAGCTTTTAATCGCTTTTTCGATTAAGCTATATTTAGGACACTATTTTCTTAAGTAAAAATTTTTTCGATAAATAATAAATTTGTAGATGAATTATTTTCATTTAAAAAAAAAACAAAATTATGAACATTTATTAAGTTTTAAATCTTTTAAAATTCTGTATTTATTTCAGCTGTTTAGATGATATTATTATTAAGTGAAAACTATATTTTTCACTATAAATGGATATGCAAATCATCAAACACCAATATTTTAAAAAGAATTTTAGTTTTTTTTTGTATGTGTATAAAAGAGCCCTATTTGTAAAATATACTCGCCATTATCAGAATGATTATAGTAAATTTAAAATCAACATTGCTAACATCTGATAAAACGTTACATTACAGTGAATACTTTCCTAATTTTTAAGATTACTGAGTACTTAAAAATTATATAAAAAATGCGCTCACGTCATTTTCTTCAATTATGTTTTATAGATAAAGTCTCTGTAGAACAACATTGAACCTATCATCAGGCTGTGAACACGCCAAAATACCTACTGTCTGGTTATAAAGTCAGCTACAGTCGGATTAAAAAATGCATTTCTGTGATATTTTAATAGGATATAAAAACGCGCCTGACATATTTTGAAAGAATTTAATTTCAAGTTCTACATGGAATTTTCAAAGATGTTCAATGCGAGCACCGTTGGTCACATGGCACATATCAAATCCGTCATCTTGCAACTTCACTTGCATTGCAACGCAAAAGTCACAACGAGCTGGTTTATCAATGTCCTGCAACTGTTGGGTTAACTGTAGTTTGTAAGGGTGTCATGTGCAGTTGCCTTTTTAAGACATGCCAAACAGTTGTTGTCGGAAGCTGAAGTTCCTTACCGGCTCTTCTGATCGATTTATGGGGGCTCCGCTCGAAAGCAGTTCGAACTCGCTCATCCGTATCATCTGAAGTTGATGGGCGTTCCGTTCTCTAGTAGGGGGCACAAACATCCGTCCTTAATGAATTTACCATGCCATCTCAATATGGACTTCCTTTCTGGTGCCTCTTTTCGGAATTTTGTGCGAAATGCACGTTGAACAAGTGGCCATGATTCAGTTTTTACAAATTCAAGGACGCAAAACGTTTTTCTGGTTGAGTGAACGCCATTGCTAGATCTGAAAAATATGAAAAAGTCATTAGCATTACAAAAAACTTAATGAATTTAGCTTTAAAATGGTACCAGTTTCATCTTACTACCATTCATAGTTCAGCAGATATGAAGACTTGAAATGTTCTCAGGACTTCTGGAACATCCTGTACTTTCAATCAGCTAATATTCCTAAAATAAAGTTTCAGAAAATTATGTTTTCATTCAGTAATCCTATACTTTGAGTGGCTCTTGGATCTTCTTTGAGGTGAAGATTAGTAAAAAAAATAAAGCGTGCTCAACCTAAATTCTAAATCTGTTAATTGTTTCCGATTTTTCGCATTAGCCATTACTCCATCAAGCAACCCGTTGCTTATGCAATCATTTCCGCGTTTTCTTGTGTATGAGACGAGAAAATTTGGAAGAAAATTAGAGCCAAAAGGTAGGGAGCGTATTATACACAAGCAGAAGTTTTCAGAATTTTTTACTCAGCTTAAAAAAACACTTATTTGAAACAGCAAGTGTATTTGAAAAAATATACTCACCACAATATATATAAATAAAGCGCAGTGTACCTATGTCCATCTGCCCGTTTTTCGATCTCGGCGAATTAACAGGTAAGAGCTAATGTATATATACGATTAAAAATTAAATAAATAACTCATTTGAAATTAAATTTAGATGTCGAACGGAGTGAAAGGTTTAAAAAACAATTCTTTATTAAAAGGTTTAACTTTAATTTCGCTTTTTGTCGCAATTGCAATTTTAATATCGTCTAATTAAACCGTAATTAAAACTTAATCAGGGCAAGGTACGTTGCTCATATGGTGTTTATTTTCTTTTTCTCTAGCACGCGGATTGTGACGTATTCGAAAACATTACATAGTTCGGGTTCCTTAATGTCTTTTAAGACTGACTTTATGTGAAGGAATCATAAAAACTGGTGATTTTTAAAAGTAAAGAAACATTGCGCGCAAAATAAATGTAAACAAACTACGAAGATCGGTTGGGTATACGAAGAAAGATTAGGCCGAATTAAGGTATCAAATAAAGATAAAATAATCTTATTATTTCTAAATTTTACGTACATAGGACGCTGAAGGTAAAAGGTCGAAGGTCCAAAAGCCCTCTGTAGAAGCTAGCCTAAAGTCCGCCCGAAGGCTAGTACATAATAAAACACAAAGCAAGCAGAAGTTGATAATTGTTTACGAAAGTTAATTGATATGTCGGTAATATTTGTTTCTCTCTTCATTCTTAATGAAAGACAATATTTTTATTTTCTTAGTTTATTAATATATAAAAATACAATATGAGTCATATGAGATAGAAAAGTATGATAGATTAAATAACACCTTAAAATATATTAGCGGGTATGTCTAATTAGCACCTTTCCACAAAAATTTGAAAATTAGTTTTGAAACGGAAATTAGAAGAAACTTGCAATGGCCAAACTTCCGGTTCATTTCTATTCTTTAATATCATGAAAAGGTAAATATTTTTGTGAAATAAACAAGGTGTTCTCCAAAAATGTACTTTTTTTTGGACTTCGTTGCCATCTTGAATATTTACAAACCTTCATTTAATTTGATATTGAATTTAAAACGTTAATCTTTATAAGTCGATAAACATTAATATCCCTTACGTTCAACCATTAATCTTGTTTTCAAGTGAATGAACACAGTATTTATTGTCATTCAAAGAGGGAGGACATTTCTGGGGACACTCTGTATGGTGATTTTCTAAGCGTAGCTTATATGTGGCACAAGGCCGAAAGCATAGGGCACCCAGAGAGGATCGAAATCACTAGTCAGTCGTAATTGTTCTTGCGAGACGAGCTTGTTAACCATTACACCACGCCCGCGTGCCCAAAATGATTTTCTAAGCGTAGATTAGATGTGGCACAAGGCCAAAGTGAGGGGCACGCAGTGAGGATCGAAATCATTGGTCAGTCATAATTGTTTTTGAGAGACGAGATTGTTAACCATTACACCACGCCCGCGTGCCCAAAATGATTTTCTAAGCGTAGATTAGATGTGGCACAAGGCCGAAAGTATGGAGTACCCAGTGAGGATCAAAGTCACTATTCACTCTTAACTGATCTAGCAAGACTAGCTTGAGTAACTGTTACACCACGTTGAAGTGTCCGCGGATACTCTGTATGTAAGACATTGAGATTTGAATCGATAATGTGGTACAATTTTTCAAAATTAATTTACATAGTAATGGCTATACTACAGGTCTGTATTATACTTAAGGGTGTAATTTATTTCCTGTTTTTAACTTCGGAATCGTATTATATATGTAGTATATTTAATTATATTATAGTATATTTAACAGAAGTAGATAGGTTCGTCTATCTCAAGGTTCGCACCCCTTCCACATCTTTTGAACAGGATTATCTCTTGTTTCCTGTTTGCGTTTCCGGTTCTTGCCAAAGTCTTCTCATTCTCTTTCAGTAGTAGCCTCCTTGCCATTTAGAGGCGTTATCGCCTTGCTTAGGGTGAAATGATTCAAAAAAGGTCTCAAGTCGTATTATACACAATATACGGCTGCTTATGAAAAGATATTCTGTGATATATTGTGCAAAATAGCCAATGTGCCATATGTTTTCTTGACGACGTTTCTGTCATACCCCGGTTCTTCTTCCTTCCGGAGTTTTTGACGTTTCCAATGCGTAAGCTCGAAAACGCGTCAGCTGTCTTCATTCAATTTTTTTTTTATAAATAATTCACTATTCTAACAACCAGCCAGGCAAGCGGATAGGTAACCTCATTCTAGAACAAACAAGACAATAGCAACAACAACAACAAAAGCAACTCCAAGCGAATGAGACAATAACCAATTCAGGGCCCTTGGCAACCTCCTGTCGCTTTTGTACGTCTCGAGAATTTTTCGCATCCTCAATGACAAGAGAGCGAGCCTCTCAATTGGAGGACAGGGCTTGAGGTGAAACCGCGATCGAATGAGCTTTATGGTTGATAAATACTTGCATTGGTGCGGGTTTTGTCTTCGATTACTGACCAAGCATCAGGAAGAAATTTATTTAACCATTCCTTTATTCTCCAATGCACTTTTAGTTTCTTGGAGAATTTGTCCCGGCGGATAGCACACTGATTAACTTACAGCAGTGTTTCTCAACCATTTTTAATTCAGGGTGCACTTGTAGAATAACTAGAACTCTGGAGCACGATTTAAATTTTAATAGGGAGAAATAAGTTATTTAAATTTAAAAATAGTAAAGAATTCTCCTGAAATAAGTATTTCTTTCTAAGACATTACATAGTCAATATGAGCGGTAGAGTTTTCATTTATGAAGAACTAGCAGTAGAGCCCGGCGTTGCCCGGGGATGTAACAGTAAGAGATAGATCAAGTATCGACCATCATAAAGACTGAAAAATAAAATTGACAAAGATTATTGTTTAAGGTTGACGGACACGCATGTTTTAATTAGTTTTTTTTTTTTTTTTTTTTTTTTTTTACGGATTGGTCAAACCCAAAACTCAAACAAAAGCATTGTTTTCAATCGTTATGAGTCTACCAATTGAATAGAATTTCATTATAAACAATTGTCTTGTAAATAGAATTTTTAAAGCATTCTGAATGTAGAAATAAAGAAAAAAGTGTGCAAGACAATAAGAAACATTACCTGCCCCCAAAAAGTGAAGTTTTGTTAAAATCGGTTGAAAAATGTAGGAAATTCGATCGCATATATAAACGGACACACACACACACACACACACACAC